GAAGCCTCAGTGCGAACTAACATTTGGGCCTCAATCAACCGCCGCCTCAACTTCAAGAGTCAAAATCGCGCCAGTTCGTGATTTCTTCGACGAAGATCAATCGAAATGCGACTGGTAATACTGGATCCAGGGCGATCTGGCGATCTGGAGAAGAACGTGGGATTTCCCCCTGTATTCTCCCCCTTTCCTGCAAGGGGCTGCGGACACTAGGCGGCGGCCGAAAGACTAAACGGCGTACTGCCGACACCAAAACATGCGCGGGCGCCGGAACGGACTGGTAGACTGGCCTCTTAGCTGGCCCAAATATGAGCTAGTGAGAATTATTCCGCTTTGCCGCTAGGCCGTTCGAGGAGAAGGCGCAGTTTGTTGGTTGCTGTGTTGCATGCTATGCGCCGCCTTAGTCGGGGACCTTTGCCTGGGAAGTTTCTTCGGCCTTGGTGCGACCAACTCGGCGTGACTTCACGGACCAACTGCGCATACAGACGCAGGAGTAGCAATGCAATTTACTATTTACTGCTGGCGAGAGACAGTAGGTCCATCAAGAAGGGGGGGTCCAAGGTTTGTTTCAAACCCGGACAGAGTTCGCCGCTCGCGGCCAATCCCTGCCGTCGGCCCTCCTCCCTCAGCCTCTGTCCTAAACTTCTGGACGACAGCTTATCAACCGGACTCTAGGCAATGCGTGTCTCAGAGAAGGGTCAGTCGTGGAGAAGTCGGGCGTCCCTTGGGCAGACAGGCAGCCAGGGAGCAGAGAGGGGACGCGGGGACGCACGTCGTCTGAAAATACCGCCCGTGCATGCCGAGAGCGACATGGGGATCAAGTGTTCAGGTGTCCCATCGCCTAGAACCAACACACTCTACGGCGTGAACCTTTGGGTCCTCCTCCGGCGCGTCCCCCGTATGTCGTCTGTTCCCTCCAATACGCACGCACTGAAACGAAGTGGGCTAACATTCATGCTCAGGCCACTGGGGGGGTTGGGCTTGCAGGAAATGGTGCGAAGCTAGAAGCCCGATGAGGGATCATGACGTTCAGGCGAAGGATGCGTGAGGCGTAAATAAGGGACCTGTTCCCGCATCTCTTCTTCATGATGATGTTCGGTCGATACAGCCGAACGATCAGCATTCTTCACCAAAGGCGTGCCAAGAAAAAGAAAATGGAATAAAGGGCACTTCATCACAAGACGATCAACTTCAGTCATCATGAACGCTTACAACCCTCGTCGGGTGTCCTACCTGAGGGCTCCGGGGACGGGAGGCATGCCCAAGCCTTGGGTATCGCCTTACCCTTCGCTCAGCTCCATCGGATATCCACCTTCAACACGATCAGCCGACGAGCGGTTCGCGTCCGCCGTCTGGCATCGCACGTTCAATCACATCGACTACGCGGCATACAAAGCGGCCTGTGACGCGGAAAGAGCAGCAAAGCCGGAGCGGGACGCGGATGTCTTCTCAGTGACGGCATCATCACACCGCAGTGGATTCTCGAGACTAGGAGCCATGCTCACTATTTACCCGTACCGCGACATGGGATGGCTCGTAACTATGGTGTTCATTGCCGGCAGTATCTGCTTCTGCCTAAACGGCATCTTCACTCTCATCCCTTTATTGAGCCCTGCTCTGGACTTCCCGGGACAGGATGCTGGTATTCAAACAACAAAGACTTTGGGAGGCGCGCTATTCGCCTTGAGCGGTCTCATGGGATTGCTGGCAGCATTCAACGTCGACCGTGGCGTGTTGGACCCGAAGAAAGATGCGCCTGATGCGTACAAGCCAGCACTACTCGGCAGCGATGAATGGGTTTGGTGGGCCAACTGGTACGAGCTTCGAACTGTCTTCTTGCCTAGCTTGGCCTTCCGAGCTGGTATCCTTCAGTTTCTTGCCGGGTCTTCCTTCACCGTCTCCGCCGTCTCTGGGATTCCGGGCGTCCTCGACCTCTCACACCCTAGCGCCGGTATTATTTTCGTAACATCACCTCTCCTCATCGGTGGCGGTCTATTCGTGATCGCCGGTTTTCTGATGATCTACCTGTCTCAGGACAAGTGGTACGTCCCCAAGACTTTCGATGCCAGTTGGCAGAATGGACTCTGGAATTTGGTCGGCGCTGGTGCTTTCCTGGCTGTTGGCGTTGTTACCCTTCTCGCAAAGACTGCGGCTGTGGCTATCGCGGCGTTATTCTTGACCGGTGGACTGGGTTTTCTGATGGCTGCCTTGATTCAGTGGTACATCATTATGGAGTTCTATCCGACTGATCCTTATACGGAGGACCCCGCGACTGCGGCAGAGATTCCTTCACAGTCGATTTATTGACGATCTTATGATTTGGTGTTTTGGACCATGGGGTTATATCAGAAAGAAACAGATTTTACATACCGACTCAGATTATTTAATTTACGATGTCATGACCTTCAAAAATCCTCCAACTTCACTCCTCGACAGTGACAAAAACAGACAATGACCAAGCCCACTGCGCTCTCACCGATGGCCCGCGGCTGCTTGGAAGCCAGCAAGCTGGAACAATTTCAAATTAGCGTCATGAGCTTCACGATGGACGCATAACGCACTAGAACGCTTTCGTTGATATCCTCAAATTCAACCGTTACCAGGAACTGAGGCGGGCGCGTCCAAACCATGTTGTTATTGATGTTGCGAGATGCTAATTAATAGTCACTGCCGACAATGATCAACGAACTCCGCACGGCCGAGTAAGCTTCGGCGACCGAGAGGGAGGGGGGGATTTTGGTGCATTGATATGACGCGGGGTAGGCATCTTGAATGAATTTCTCGCCCAAATTATGGGATGATTGCTAAATTTGATTTGGAAACGACTTCAATGCTTACGGTTTATTCCTGAAAATGGGCTTTTCTTTTGTACGGATGCACTACTTCCATCCAGATCAATTCGATCCCCTTAACATACCGTCACACATGCGATTGAACCGAGTTGTTTCCATACGAAGGGTGAGAGTTTCATATGAACAGAATTGTGACTAGACTAGAATAGAATATAATCGCCCAGTTTACATGTCAGTGATGGAGATATGGTGTCTCCGATGTCTTAATGTATCTGATTATCTACACTTCCTCTATTTCGCAACGGAGCAGCAAAGCTCCTTGGAAACATTAAGGGCTCTCATCCAGTGCAATACCCGTTCAAATCAACTCTTGCTACGTAGCCTGCGTATGTAATGAGTATGCAAAGCGCGTTATCACATAATCCCAGACAGCAATGCCTGATATACCAATCAGATAATGCCATACACTAATTGTGTTTAGATTGGACATCCTTCTTTTGGGATCTTCGGGCAGCAATAGTGTAGAACAGGCTGCCGTCGTAAATTCCACGGACATCTTCTTTCCAGATTCGGCCATCGGCAGGCCAGAGCATAATATAAGTGGCCATCCCTGTCCTAGGATTAGTGACACTTATAAGAGTAAATCAGAATTGTTACTAACATTCGAAGAATGCGCCTCCCCAGCCAACAGGGTCGAGAATCACCCGGTTGCCCTTGAGCATGGCAAAGATGTCACCAATGGTCATGTAGTCCCTGCCCTCGGCATACTTGGCAAAAATGTCTTCGAACTTTTGAGAGCTGAATCGGCCCTCAGTGTCATACGCGCCGCTGTCACTTCCGTGCTTATCCCTGTGAATGTTGTCGATGAAGATGCGGAAGAAGGGATCGGGTAGGTACCCGCGCACTGTAGGGTAGGAGAAGTTGCCGTGAATGATGAAGACCGAGAGTGTCGAGAGAATAAGTCCAAAGCCAAGCTTGTAGAATCCAACAAAGGTGTCCAGTGGCCAGATGACACCATCTTGGTCCTAATAGACATTAGAATACCAGAAATTGATGAGACAGATGGCAATACTTACACGGTCGAAGAACTCGCAGTGCTGTTGCAACACCTGCATTCATGCCCATTAGTTACCAGGTCCCATCTCAAACAAGCCACGGAGGAAAGATCACTCACAGTTTGATGACGATGGATTTTGTTCCAATCATACTCCGTCGTGCCGTTCGGACGATCGTGCGTCGCAGCGATGTTGGCCCGAGCAGTGCCTTTGACGATGGTTAACTCCACTTTTCTACTAATGCAAGGGAGAATGGTCTACCAGTGTGGGACAGTCTCTGGTCATCCTCGGGCTGCAGGAACGGCTTCCGCTGGGTGGTAATTGGGACCTCCGAGATGGACGAGATCACCGGCTCCCCAAGCATGTTGGAGGCCTTCTTCAGATTGGTGTACGTTTGCCCTTCTGTAGCCATAATGGTGATGGGTGTCAAAATGGTGTGAAAGTAGTGAGAGCCACTCAGAACGGAGGTATTAGAAAGGCGATCGACGCCGGGTTTTATGGAGCTATGTGATTGCTTGGTGTCTGTCTCACATTCAATGACCCCTTCATGGTGACGTCAGTGTCTCTTCACGAATTGTTGAGACTGGGCGATCGGGCCATAATGGTACACGGTCTCTTGGTGTTGATTTTGCATGTGATGGAATAAGCCACAAACTGCGCTTTGTGTATCGCGATGTGGCTGAACAGGAATGCAACATCGCGTCGCCGCGTCTTTCAATCGAGGGCAGAACACCCCGCTGTCAGCATCGTCGTGGTGGATTCACGCGGACATGGTGTAGAGGGAAGACAGTAATAATGACATATGTTAACCAATCTGTTGACAAGCTTCAGTTCCCTAATCGCTTGTGGGCTGAAGAAAATATCTGGGTAAAGGTGGACCATCGGGCTCGTGAACCTGGGGAAGATCGTGGCATGACGCTAAACTGACCTCAAAGGCATCTGTTGCGACGATGAAAACATTGTGTCGTTCCATGCTGAAGAGAACAGAAGAAAACTATCTCTAACCGCTTCTATAAGATGGCCAGACGTACTGGGCGAAGCGATAAAACAATCAAAAAGTTTGCAATGCCCATCGACTAAAGCCCGATTTTTGCTCAACTACGAATCAAGCACAAAGCTCATTTTTCCCTCATAACATCTATCTACGCCAATTACAATGGATCAAGCACTGCAGACCGCACTCAGCACCGGCCTATCCTCGGTCTCTGGGTTCCATTCCAACAAGCCAAAGGAAGTCGATCCAAAGTTGGCTGGCAAAAATGTTCTGCCTCAAAGCTTCTGTCCAACTGCCAAAGACCGCCTGTCATTCCCGCCAGTCAAAGCCTCTTATCTTTCCATTGGCGGCTGGCCGTGGGCAGACAAGCCGACATGGCATTATGACGAGAGCGAGTGGATCAAAATCCAGGAGGCATGGCAGATCCTCTACGACGCGGGCATCAACTTCATCGACACCGCGGAGGCGTACGGAAACAACGAAAGTGAGAAGATCGTCGGCGATCTTGTGCAAAGTCTTCCTCGCGATAACTTCGTGGTGCAGACGAAGTTTTTCGGCACGCCCATGAAAGCGGAGAACTTCATCCACCCCGTCGACGCACCCGTGACGAGCTTGAAGGCCAGCTTGGAGCGCCTGCGCCTCGATTTTGTCGACATTTACCTAGTCCATGGTCCTATACATCCTCAGAGCTTCTCGAACATTGCTGAAGGAATGGCCAAGTGCGTGAAGGAAGGTCTCACCCGAGCTGTGGGCGTTGCAAACTACGACAGTGAAGATGTCTTCAAAATCCGAGACGAGCTAAAGAAGAACAACGTGCCTTTGGCTACGAACCAGTGCGAATTCAGCATCCTTCGTCGTTACCCCGAGATCACTGGTAGCATTAGAAATTGCCAGGCGAGCGACATCATTTTCCAATCGTACTCTTCCCTCGGGCAAGGGCGCTTGTCTGGGAAATACACACCTGAGAACCCACCGCCTAAGGAGTACCGCTTCAGCAGTTACGATATGAAGGATATTGAGCCGACCATCGCCACCTTACGAGAGATCGCAGAGAAGCGAGGAAAGAGCCCAGCTTCTGTTGCTCTCAACTACAACATCGGCAAAGGCGCTGTTCCGGTCGTCGGCATCCGTAGAGCTGAGCAGGCAAGAGAGGCTATTGAAGCGCTTGGTTGGAGATTGAGCGAGGAGGAGGTAATCGCTATTGATAAGGTCAGCGTCGAAGGCCAGACCACGTCACTCTGGCAGCAGGGGTAAACAAATCGGCACTGACGACAGTGGCGAGAGCAAGAGATTGTGAACTAAAAGCAAGCGACAGGTGTCTGTTTCTGCCCATAGCGTGTCAAACTATCTTGCGATTTTGTATACGAAAGAAAATGAACATTGGCAACAATCCTCAAAAGTGACACATGGACCTTACTCATATTAAGGAACTTGATCGGTGACCGAAGAACTTAAGCAATGAAGTTTTAGCGACCCAAGTACCCATTAGCTCCCAAACCGTTCATTCGAGGGCGAGGCGACGAGACTCGGTTGAGAGCGATTCAGAATGATGACGAACAGGACAAGAGGTGGCCTTTGTATTTCCATAGCGGCACTTGACAACGGCGATTCATCATTTCAACGCTGAACCTGGCCGGCATCGCAACGCGACATACGAGGCTTCCTTGTCACACATCATGGGACGAGCCTGTCATTTCTGCCTGGATTTCCCCACGAGCTTCCGAGAATATCTCTGACGCACTCCCGTGATTTGAAGGGAGGTATTGATGGGCGGCGAACGCTTGGACAGTGTTTGGGCTCAAACCAGCCGGCGACAACGGCTTCCTGTCAAGTAGCTAATGGCAGTTCACTTGAAAAGCGAAACCACCCTGCGTCCCCGAGCCGCAAGCACCCGGCGTCCTGCCGATGGGTTGCCACGGCGTATTGTCAAGAAACACGTTCATCTCTTGGCAATGGCCGAGCGAGCGACGCACGACAGAGGTGCATCGACCATGTGATTGGGAGGTGCTCGGATCTGCCTGATGTTTCTCTGTTAGTGCGCTCACGGCAGGGACTTTACCCGACCTGCACGACCGTTGAGATTTGATCGAGGAGTTGAGACCTGGGCCCAATCAAATTTAGGCTTTTGGACACCAGTGTTCAAGCATATTTCTGCCGGGAACTGTGATCATAGAAACGATTGGCCAAGTCAGTTCATCTCAATTATGAACATAGCCGGTTTACATTGACCTCGTTCGCTAGTTTCCCAAAGAAGAAATCTTTGGAGAACCTAAACGACGAAAACATCAGGACATATGTGCACAAGCTGAAGCGAATAGACGAAGACAAGGATCCTCTGTATACCTTCGGTCATGAGAATATCAATGCAATTCGCAAAACCCGAAATGATTCTTTTGCGGACTTCTCATCGTCTCAAGCCTCTTCTCTAGAACTTCTAGAACGCTGTAACGGTTGCCAGAAATGCATGCCATATGGCCCTGAGGGACAGAACGTGTACGATGGGAACCTTGTACCTTCCTCGCCATGTGTTTCTAGTTCAGATGATTACCGTTGGGTTCCGCATAGAATGTCTAGATCTAGACAACTACGCCGAGAGGAGTGAACTACCTGCTTTCCGTACAACGATTTAGCCTTCGCAATTGTCTACAGCTCGGCACGTACTGCCGTAATGTCCGGTGGGTGCATTGTTTCCTTGTAGCAGCGCAGGTGACTCAACTCATCAGCAAAGATAAATGATTTCATGTTCCACGGCGAAAAGAAATTAGATGATGTCCGCAATACTAAGAGGATTTGGTCGCAAAGTGAGTCTAAAGATAGCAAGTAGGGGGTTTGAGAACAGCGTACGCTGACAACAATCAAAGCATCGAGCAGCAAAAGAGTATGATCAGTGGGAGGCTTGAACTCCCGGCCTTGGCATTACTCAATACGTCTGATGATGTATTAGTACCACGCTCTAACCAACTGAGCTAACCGACCAGTTGTGGATGTTAGACCAATGCCCTAACCCTGCTCATGTTCGGTGGTGGAGATGGAAATGAGTCACGGAGAAAGAGTGGCTCAACGGACCCTGGCGCCGCATCTTGCTCCGGCCCCACATTGAGGTTGAGAGAGACGTCAAGCCTCAAAGAACTCCAGATTGGGGGTTGAGCTCTTAGTATGTTGTGCTGCTAATACGGCTGCTAAAAATAGAGAATAGAATAGCAAGGCAGTATTGCGTCTGCTTGCGATAATGTGTTGTTGTGTTTGGTGAGCATTCAGGGCCCAAGTTCATCGCACCTAGCCCAGGTAATAAGCCAACTTCAATCAAGTGACCATCTTACTGCCCGATTGGGAACTCTCTGCGCATCAATAAACTGAATATTCTAGGGTCTTCTCATACAAGTGTCTGAGTTCCGAGTATTACCCGAGACAAAACTGAAAAGCCTCACAAGCCATCGGCGTACAACATATATCATATGACTTGAAAGAAGCATAGTAATTGGACCGGCGTGAGATCGAGCGCGTACAACTTTCTTTTGCTCAGGTCCTTTAGCACGATTTCTTAAGCTAGAAAGATCGTGAGGTAGTTCAGCGCATCACTTAAGAGACATCAATACGTGCATAGGGGTAGATCAGTGTATCAGCAATGACGTGCTTGAATAACTGTCGGATCCGAACCCGAAACTCCGCAACGGCGCTATTGGTCTATTCGCCGGCATTCAGAGCGAAAACGCTCCAGGAACCAGGCACATTGAGGGGAGCTTCTCCAATATATTCCCCAAAAAGGTAAGTCTGGTAAGTCGAGTGTCACGCAATGACTGCCCGCCCTACGGCGTTCCCCCCGAGTTCGGTCCTTCAAGCCATTGCTTTTCTCCCATTTTCTCAAACCTCTTTTCCTTCCGCAAACCTTCACTTTCAATCGCTAACACCTCCACTGCTGAAGAACACGGTCACCTATCCGGACCAGGCGGAGACGAGCTCACGGGCTCTCAGTCCACCAAAGAAAGCGTTCACGTCAACTGGCCTTCTACCCCAGATTCTTGAAACTTGATCTCTCGTTCGCCCGGTTTTGCCGCTCTGTCCAATCCATGAGTTAAAGCATCGCCAGACTGTGCACCCACGTTGACAGTGACGAACGACATGACAAGAAGCGAACCCGCCGCCATGGACTCGAACGTCCGGGAGCCAACGCACATCAATGCGCTGCGTCCCCGAGCTGCCGAAGACGTGAAGATCTCTTTCCTTTTGAATGGCCATTCCTGCAGCTTCTCGACCGACATGATGCCCGATGAGAGCCAAATCACCACTAGCAACCTCACCCGCAGCACCAAGGAAGCCAGCCACAGCAGTCAAGAGTACATCCTGCAGCAGCAGCAGCCGCACCATTACCATCCTGCGAAACAGCAATTTGTCAACCTCCCTCCGCCACAATGTACGAGCCGCTGTCGCCAATCATGGACCAGAGCCGTGTTGTACCTCACGGGCCTCATCCTAATCTCGGTTTGGTATGCCAGCAGGCAATACGGCGCCGGCAGCGGGCGCTGGCCAGCCCGCCAACCACCGCAATCCCCTGCTTCACCTTCACCCGTCCGGAACTGGGATTCGGCGGCCTCCAAGGCCGCAGCTTTTACGGCGCGTCTCAACCTTACCGAAAAGACCCGAATAGTTACTGGTCGTATCGGTCTTGAGGTCGGCGGCTGCATTGGTAACATCCCGCCGATCGAGCGCGTCGGCTTCCGCGGCCTCTGCCTGCTCGATGGGCCCACGGCGCTGAATCGCGCCGATCTTGTTAGCGTGTTCCCGGCCGGCCTGACAACGGCCGCTAGCTGGGACAAGGATTTAATTTACAAGCGTGGAAAGGCGTTAGGTGAGGAGTTTCGGGACAAGGGCGTCCACGTTGGACTCGGGTGAGTTTTGCAGTCTTTCCATGGTGAATAACAGGGCGCTAACATTTGACTTAGACCAGTGGCTGGACCACTGGGCCGGAACCAACTCGGTGGACGCAATTGGGAGGGCTTTTCTGTCGATCCATACCTCACTGGAGTTGCTATGAGTCTCACCATCAAAGGCATGCAAGATGCTGGCGTGCAGGCGTGCGCAAAACACTTCATCGGCAATGAACAAGAAACTCAACGAACTAATTCCTGGCTGGAAAACGGCACTGAAATCGCAGCAATCTCTTCCAATATCGATGACCGCACCTTGCATGAGCTGTATCTATGGCCATTCGCCGATTCTATCCGCGCGGGCGTTGCTACAGTTATGTGTAGTTACAATAGGCTCAACCAGACCTACGCCTGTGAGAACTCCAAGCTTCTGAACGGAATTCTCAAGGATGAACTCGCCTTCAAGGGATATGTGCAGAGCGATTGGTTCGCGACTCACTCGGGACCGGAATCGATCAATGGTGGCTTGGATATGAACATGCCGGGACCGATCGGCCAAGCCGAGACTTTCACGGGCGAAACCTACTGGGGACCCAACATCACGAAAATGATCAGCGACGGTTCTGTCACTGAAGACCGTCTTGACGAGATGATTAAACGCATCATGACACAGTACTATCTGTTTGGACAGGATAGCGCCGGCTACCCGACGGTTGACCCATCCATCATATTCACCATCGCAGCGCAATCGAATCTTCTTCACTTGATCCCATTTGGGCCGCCACCGAGCCGCGATGTTAGAAGCGATCACTCCAAGATTATTCGCAAGCTGGGTGCCGAAGCCGCTGTCTTGCTAAAGAACGTTAACGGCACCCTTCCATTGAAGCAACCCTCCAACATTGGCGTCTTCGGTAATGATGCGGCAGACCCGGCCGACGGGCTTGTCTTTGGCGCTGGGTTTGAGGTTGGCACACTCTCAATCGGCGGTGGTTCTGGGACGGGCCGGCACACATATCTGGTTTCGCCTCTCGAAGCGATCAAGGCTCAAGCTCGTCAGAGCGGCGCGCGGGTGCAATACATCCTGAATAACAAGGTCCTAGCGGCAGGCGACTTCAGCAGCTTGTACCCTATCCCAGATGTTTGTCTCGTGTTTCTCAACACGTTTGCTTCTGAGGGTTACGATAGGAAAGACATTGAGGCCGATTGGAACTCGACGCCGGTTGTTGAGAATGTCGCCCGGCGATGCCCGAACACAGTCGTCGTGACACACTCGGCTGGCATCAACACCTTGCCATGGGCTGATAACCCCAACGTCACAGCCATCCTAGCAGCCCATCTTCCAGGACAGGAGTCTGGTAACTCCATCGTCGACGTTCTCTGGGGGAAGGT